GTCGCTCGGTACGTGTGGGCACCTTCTTTCCCAAACTTGCTCGGCTTTTCCGCCTTAAACCATTGCAATCCCAAGGCGATTTGAACTCTTCCACACCAAGTACTGACAGCCTCGCACACTACTTATATCCTAAATAAGTAGTCTTTGTTTATAAATAGGATTTCGAGACTAACAATAAGTCAGTTATATGAGATACGAAGAGAAATTTGGTTTCGATGAATCTCCTGAGAAAAATTGTTAGTGGGACCTTCATTTTGTATGAAAGTGCATGAAGAATAGATTCGTTGTTCGATCTCACCAGATGAGGACGGCACTTCCTCCCTCGTTTCGGAGACTGCGTCAACATGAATATCGTCTAAAAGCCAAACGGCTGCAGTATGAGTTTCATGCACTTTCATACGAAACGAAGGTCCCCCTAACAACCGGTTATATGAGACGTATTCACTCTATTTCATTTGAGGAGATAAAGGACTGGCAGTTGAATTCTTCCACAATCATATGAGAACACCTTTCAGGAAAGCAAGGCTATGTGAATGGAAACTTTCGTTCTACTTGTATGATTGGTTCATCACCATATACGAAATAGGGTGAATACATCTGTTATAACTGCTATAGTAATTGTCATAATTCCCAGCGTCGGACCTTAGAATTGGTACATTCCAAGACGTTTCGCAGGAATCTTCAGTGAATCCTTCGACCAACCTTCTTTCCACACCGTTGTGGTATCAGTCCTCTTTCTATTCTGGTCTATCTATCTATTCATATACCCTCTTATCACATGCACGCGCTATCACAACTTCTGACTCGCCCATATTTCAATCCTCAAGACGCGCCCTTTTTGGCGAATTTAGTGGGACGTCATCACACAAGCTGTCAACTTTGCCCCTCTCTCTTACGGTTGGCTGATCCGACTTGAGCCTCCTGTCCGGATCCTCTCATGTGCGCGTAGATCAATTTCTTATCGTCCTGATTGACCGATTCCACGAAATGAAGGTCTTCACAACAAATTAGTCTCATGAGATTATTCAAAACCCGCACTCCCTTCCTATAGGCTTGCTTCATCTTCACGGGTCATCTCCCTGATGCAAGCTGTGAAGTCTGAGCAAGCTGTGGACGTCTTTCTCCGGCGACCTATTTCTTTTTGAGTGGAGTTTTCTCTAATTTAGTCATAACATCGAATTTATATGACGGTTGTGATTATCTGTCTCTGTCTCCGACTTCGGACAACTCGTCAAAGAGACAAGCTGAGAATGGCCAGCGAAACGTTTGTGAATGTACCAATTGCACGATCAAACGCTGGGAATTATGACAGCTACCAGAGCAAAGATATGGGACAAGTTGCGTCCAGATACGTCGCCATGACAACATGATCAAGTTGAAAAAAACGAGTTTATACCACTTATAGACCTCGAAAAGAGACATTTGTCAAAATAGAGGCCATGACATCTTTGTCTTCATGTTACGTTTAACCAACGAATCTTGTGATTGTGCACTTTTATGCGAAATGAAGGTATCCTCTATACTTTCAGTCTACCAGATTAATCTAAAGCCAATTGTTATCCGTTTCCTATCAATTGTGTCTCTTCTTCTTGTCTCCCTGTACTCTCACAACTGCCCACAGACGCAGAAGACGCCTCTTCCGCGGACCTGACTCTGGGCCGCGAAGTGAAGTGTCCACTCAACGGATTCGCCCACTTCCCCAGCTTCAACCCGCCGCCCCCTAGACTCGGCGAGAAGATGGCTCCTCTTGTCGGTCGAAAGGGTCGAGAGACGAGTGACGCCGGACTGGCCGATCTTGTGCGTTTGCAAGCCGTCCAGATGTCGTCGCATCTTCGTCTCGTCAACGACACCGTGCTCGAGTTCCTCGCCTGCCTGCCATTGGTCCAAACTGCGTCGCCGTCGCCCTCGGCATCGCTCTCACTCTCGCCCTCCTTCTCCTCCGCCCTCTTCGCCCCGGGGCCGCCTCCGCTCCCGCCTCACTCCACCGCCCCGTCGCCGCCTCCGCCTCCGCCTCCGCCTCCTCCTCCTGCCCCCCTCGCCCTCCCCTCGGCCGGGGTCCTGGTAGCCCACGCCAAATTTCTGCTGCGCTGCACCAGCCATCTGGTCCAACTGGCCGCCGACCTCTGCGCCGGCCTGCCCGACCCGCAAGAGGACTGGCCGCCGCGGCTCGAGTCACACACGACGGCCACCGCCTACACCGGCGCCTGGGATCGAGTCCCGGCGGCCGGCCAATTGCGTGTCGACGTCGAGTGGGCCGGCAACATGACCTGCGAGGCCCTCAAGAGCCTGATCGCGCAAGCGAAGATTGTCGCCGCCGGCCTGGCCAGCCAACCAGCCGGCTCGGCCGGCTTCCACACCGCCCTCCTTCCCGCCAGTCCCGCCAG